AACGTGTCTCTCATGTTTGAGTTATCGGAGGCATTTAATACTCAGTCGTTGAGACATGCTTGCATCCTATTCATCCTGGATAATTTTAACAAATTAAGTCCCATGGCATGGTATGTTTTACCCTCACCCTTGATAAAATCCCATTGCTCTTAAAAAAAAAAAAAGTGTGATTGGCTCTTTGAAATTGAAATGGAACAGACTTTTCTCTTTTTCTTTTTCTATAATTTTGAAACTCAACATGGCTTTTGTGTTCTAACAAGGACAAAATTTAAGGATCGTTTTTGTTCTATTTGTGCTAACGTAGGTATCCCCAGCTCATTCGACGTATATTACCCGAGACTCGACATTATTTCGTGAGAGCATTGACGACTAGACAGATTCATGCGGATCTAATACGGTAGGTGTGTTTTTGGCAGCTGTTTCCTGGTACTTTTAACCGCCTAAGTGACCTGATGAGAATGTACAGAAATTTTTTAGTTAACTAGTAGATGAGCCTGATTTGTTGTGTTCTTGCTCTGGATTAACCCCCTGTAGTGCCAATGGCATAAAATGTTGTACCACTTGACACGGCTGATTCCTTATTCTTGGATAACTCGTACTTGTTGCTGCTCACATATGCGAATTCAATTGCCATGAAGGAAGACTATGCAGTGTAGGTTTAATGTTTGTGGTGGTGCTTTTCGACTAGGGTTGCAAGCGAAACGAGTCGAGTCGAGCATGAGCTTTGACGAGTGCAGATCGAACTATTTTCTTCAGTGCTCGAGTTCGAGCTCGAGCTTGACGAACCATATAAAATGGTACTAGACTTGACTCGTGAAAAAAATAAGATTGTTCGAGCTCAACTCGATGCTCGATATGGCTCGAGTTCGACGCGGAATTTTAACAACTAAATTTCAAATATAAGGGTACTATTTTTAATCTAAATACTAAATAGACAATTCTAGCCTTGGTGTTGCTCTAATGTTGATAATTAAATTATATGGAGTATTTATGTAAATCAAAAATCGAGCGGCTCATCGAGCTTATGAGCCTCTTGAAATAATGCTCGAGACTCGACTCGTTTGATCGATTGAATAGCTCGAGCTCGACTTGAGATTCAGTTTGACCGAGCTTGAATCAAGCATGGTTTGAGCTCTCGCAAGCGACTCTTGACCTACTTGACTCCTTTACAACCCTATTCTTGACAGCACTCCACTATGGCCTTTTCATTTGTTTAATAAATATTAAATAACCTTGTCAAAAGTCCAACTAAAGGACCACATTAGTAAATGTGGGGAAAAGAGTGTGAATGGCCTATAACATCCATTTGTGAGGAACATTTTCCTTTTGTGAAACTTGTGAGAACTAGAAGGTCCACATGTTGGCATTGTCTTGAGTTAACCTATAACTCATATTTTTATTAATTTATCTAATGTATAATATTATATAAACATTTTTTTGTTCTCAAAATAATGGGATGAATCATGTAAAGTATGTAGTGTTTTATATGTGGATGTGGAGCTTCTTAATAGACATCTGTGATGTAGTTAGAGAACAGATAGATAAAGCTACACATTGACACATTTGGATGAGTCCTAATTGGAACAAGCTCAACCCTTATTCCATATTAAATGCATTAATATTCTTAAATTCCAACAAATCTTTAAAAACCCCAATTAAATACATTAATATTCTTAAATTCTGATAACTTTTCCATGTAGACGTTAATTAATAAATAAATATTAAAAAAAAAACATACTACTACATCTTTTTCATTAAGGCCAGAATACAAACAAACATGTTTGTGTATTCTTCGAAGTATTGGAAGTGTTATTTACTCCTTTATAGTAAATATTTTGTGCATTATTATTATTATTATTATTATTATTATTATTATTATTATTATTAAAAAACAATTGTTTATAAGATTCTAAAGTTGTTTGACTATGCTATTAAAACAATTTACCAATTGTTTTAAATTAATTTTTTCATGAGATACAAAAAAAAAAGATAATATTGATGTTAAAATAAATAACTTGAAAAAAAATGTCTGTAATTATGTAATTTATATTTATTGTGAATTATAGTTGGTATTAGAAATAACTATTATATAATATAATAGAAAAATACATGATTACACTCAATAGGATGTATCAATGTGAGAAGTAAAATATATTAATTATAAATTTTGTAACCGAAAATGGAGAAAATTTTTTAGAGGTTTTATTAAATAGGTAAAATTAAATGCTATATGCCAACAATTATATAGATATATATTATAAATAAAAAAGTAAAAAAGATACTATCTATTTTTTTTTTTAAAATGTCATTTTTGTTTTATCAACAATTAACTAAATAAATGACATTTTGGATCTTCTGTACATATCTTTCCATTGTTACACTCATTTAGCTAATAAATACATGACGTCTTTTCATATTCACTCTTCATCTTTTTCTCTAAAAATTTATTTCTATCCTCATTAATGAGGGTTATTATTGATAAAAGAAAAAAAAAAAAAACTTAATTACTGTACAACTTTTCAAAACGATACTTATTAAAAATAAGACAGAGTAATATTTTTGTGAATTCTAGTGTAAAAGTAAAAATATGATATTTTTTGCAAAATCCACTATTTTTTTTTTAAAAAAAAAATATTTTTTATTTTTATGGAATAGAAGTTGTATATTGTCCCTTCTTCATTTAATCTTTCTCCTTTTACCTCTGTCGTCTTCATTTTCTTTTTCTCTTCAAACCCTTGTCCTATTTCGTCTGGATTAACCAGGAATTTCCATAGCAGGCCTTCATAAAAGTGTAGAAAATCGAAAGACAAAGAACACCAATTGAAAAATCTGTGAAGAAAAAAAAAAAAAATGATG